CGATACGCACCTACTTGTTGGGAATAAGGCGTTGAACTCTACCATAATCGGAGGTACCCGCATGAAGCAACACCTCGAGTTGATCTGCTGCTGACGACGGCGAAGCGCCTGGAGTTACGAAAGGGCGAGAAGGTGCTGAAGGAGCCAGTTATGATTAGACATCTGTTTTTGCTGTTAGAAAGTTTAGTTGGGGGATGCCTAGAGGAGCAGGTGGCTTACACGGTAGCCTTGATTGCCTTTTGGGGTATGGCTTGCTTGGGCAAACTCCTCAAGAAACCGGACGTGTCTGACCAAGTCAGGGTAAAAGATGTAATCTGGGACCCGAGTGATGAATTCTGTACCATAAGGATATGAGAGGCGAAAACAGCAGCCGTCGGAGAGGTTCAAGAAATTCACCTTTGGAAACAGCGATCCCTGCTTGATCCAGTTAGCGCTTTGCGATGATTAATTCAATGTACGGGGGCAACGGAAGACGAAGCCTTGTTCTCTTCCCGGGTAAAGAACTGTAAGGAGGTTACACGTAGACGGAAGGCATGGGTTACAGATCATGGGATTAGGCAGTGGACTATATGTTTCTCTCTGTAGCCTGGCTTCAGATGATCCTCACTCTTCGAGAGCTACTCACGGGATCATTCTGGAGCTAGGTGAGAATTCCTTTTATATCAATTTCTCTTATGTTGTTGTTGTTCTTTCTCTTAGGATTACGGGTACTGACTCTTGGAGAGCTACTCACGGGATCATTCTGGAGCTAGTTTCGTAATAGATACACAGAAGTTCCAAGTTAGCTCTCCGTTGAGTCCAGCGAGAAAGAACCTGAACCTTCAGTGAAGGACTCTTATAGAGTCCTTACACTTTTTTTAACTTGTCAACTTCGAATTTTTTTATCCATCAAACAGGACCCCTGATAGCACCACCAAAGCCCCATTGTCTTGCTGGAGCCAAAATGCAATTTTTAGCAAATATGTTTGTTGTGAAACCTGGAGCCAAAAAGCCAAATTGTTGGATTTTTCTTTTCTAAGGTCATTGTGCCCTTGGCACCAAAACCACCGGTTTTTTATTCCAAAATGTTATGTGTATTGTTTCCACAGAGCAATTCCATGTAGTCATACTGGCCACAGTCTCAGTCCAGCCAAAAGGCAAGAATCACCTAGACAACACCATGGACGTGAGCTGCACTGCCGTCTGAGTCACAAGGAAATGTCCACCAGCCAAAGCAAACCCTTTGTCATGGATTCAATGCTCTCCGAATTTCCTTGGAACCTGTGTGGTAACTGTAATATAACACAGAAAGGAGGTTTGTTCTATTCAATTTGCCATTGTGGTCTTCACACTGCAAATATAATGTGTTTCTCCAAAGTGAAAAATGATTGCACTTAATGCACAAAATGATTAATAATGCAGATTTAATGCAGAAAAATGCAGATTTAATGTAGATTTAATGCACTTTTAATCATTTTTTGAATTAAATGTAATCATTTTTCACCGCGGAGAAACACATTATATTTGCAGTGTCAGAAGAATGGAAGTAAACTCCAAGGTACATGTAGTTAGAATGTGGAGGTACACTGGGGATCCAGTGTGTATAATCCAGCAAATTTCATTGCCAATCTTAACAAAGGCACGACTTAGGATACAGTTCCATGACAGAGTTTAGCCGAAGTGGGTATCATATCATAACACTAAAGGCACAACCCAGTTTCTCGGCGAAACTGGATTAAACCCCTAAGCCCTTAACAAGCTGTACACTTGAGACTCCGACCCCCTTAATGAAAGCTCAGCAGTACTTATATGATTGGGATTTCTTGGCCAGGCGAACGTCCTTCAAGCCCTAAGCTTAACTAAGCCCCTCACGAGCGCGTTCGCCGCGCCCTCGAAGAGGGGCTTACATCGGACTCGCAATTTCTGGCGTGTGAGCTCCAAGAATTATGTCTTCTTATGTTGTTTTCTTCACGTCTCCGCTTCACCTCACCGTAGAAAATGCAATACTTCGAGTATGTGCTTCTTCATGAAATGGTACACAACCTCATATGAGTTTCATGAGCAAAAGACAGACCTGCACAGCTTGAGCAATGTGTTAAAAGCACCAAAAATGGCCCTTAGGTCCTCTTGTAAATGGCCTAAGACCACCTAAGACACCACGTATGAAATTTCAAAGCACCAAATCCCTAATGTTACATCACAAATTCAGAGCCCTTCTTTTCAGTTTACGGCAATGTGTTTGATACCAAAATATGTACCATATCCTAAAGAAAGATATACCAGAAGCTTTGCATCTTCTTCGGTGAGGTGAAGCGGAGAAGTAAGAAAAACAACATAAGGGGACTTAATTCTTGGAGCTCACACGCCAGAAATTGCGAGTCCGATGTAAGCCCCTCTTCGAGGGCGCGGCGAACGCGCTCGTGAGGGGCTTAGTTAAGCTTATTCAAGCCCATACGGAGCAAGTTCACTACTTATCCTTCGCGAGCTGATAGTGGATCACCAAAAAGATATTGAACAGATGAATCACAGAGCTATTCAAATTGCAAGACAACTTTTATCTGAACCTACAACACTTGGTACAAAAGCTGCATCATTTATCTTTTAAGTTTTAGGAAAACGGCGT